AGTGTGATTACCGCCACTAGCTTAGACACCGGCAAGGTACTTGATGTGGAGTGCCTCAGTAAAAACTGTCCTACTGGTAAGGTAGCCCATAAAAAAGACCACCCTAACTGCCACATCAACTATCAGGGATCCAGCGGAGGGATGGAGGTAGTAGGAGTAAATAATTTATTTCATAGATCAAGTAAGCTCGATGTACCAGTTCGCTACGTCCACTTTTTATGCGACGGACACAGCAAATAATTTGACGCAGTGGCTCAATCAAAACCTCATGGTGATTATGTAACTATAGACAAGTTAGAGTGCATCAATCATGTACAAAAAAGGATGGGAACACGGCTTAGACTTCTACGGAAAGAACTCAAAAATGAGGACTGACAGGACCGAACCGTGTTATAGGCCTACTAAAGCTTGATGCAAAGCGTGTGCGAGAAGCTGAACGAGCCCATCAAGAAATTGAAAAGAGGGCCCGAAAGGCAAAGAAAACAATAAAAAAAGGCTTGGAGAGGCAGAAAATCAAGATGAACCAAGTTATGGTGCTGGGCTTTTTTAAAGGTATGAAAATTAAAGTTTTGTGATATAGTCTCCATAGTCTAAGGCTTTATATGCGACTAGCTGTACCCACGGGCTTTGCCCCGTTTAACTTCATATGTGAGCTCGTTCGCATGGCTCAATCACGTCCTGGTTGAAGTTCGTTCGCTACGCTCACTCACCTTTAGGTTGGAGCTCGTTCGCTGCACTCACACGTCCTGGTTGAAGTTCGTTCGCTACGCTCACTCACCTTTACAGTTGGAGCTCGTTCGCTGCGCTCACTTGCCTTCAGGTTAGCTCGTTCGCTACGGTACCTCGCCTCCGGGTTGAAGTTCGTTCGCTACGCTCACTCACCTTTTGGTTTCAAATTAGCTGTTGTCAAATATAAAAAAAAAAATAATAGTGCTGCACTCTGTTGGTAATCCTTGTAACTTTAATGCTATTGAACACCATAGAACAGAACCAACTTGTTTAATTGAAACAGCTGTTATGATTCATTAATTCCATTTAAATATGAGTACTCATTAGGTTAACATGGGAAACTCCAGAGCCACTGGGGTGGAGCCCGAGAGTCCGATCAAAATTAAAACCACTTAGTTTTCCTATTTAATGCCTAAAGAATCAGTGTCCAAATTTCAGCCTCCTAGGTAAGTGGGAAGTGGGAGAATTAGTGATGAGTGAGGCAGTCAGTCAGTCAGTCAGTCAGTCAGTAAGGGCTTTGCCTTTTATATATATAGATTTACCAAAAATTTACTTTTTTCTTCGTCCGGTAAGTTTTTACAGACCTTCTGTGTATATTAACAAATAATAATAGGAAGTGAAATTACAAAATTATTGATACAACCCGAGTTTTAATTATTTTTTAATTAAAAAACGAGATAAAAATATTTATGTTTTAAAACAATTCATATAAAATTATTTTTAACTTTAGAACAAAAGTGGTTCCTATTATCGTTGAGAAAGGTGTGTAAGACAATGTATACAAATTTCAGGTTGCTAGGATACTTTTTAAAGAAGTTAAGTGTACCTAAAAATGGTGAAATTAACATGGAAGGGATAGGGACTACTGTGTTACCTTAATAATATTTTTCTTTAAAAGAAGAATCACATCAACAAGTTGGTTCTAAATCCATGGGAAAACCTTTGTGTTTAACACACCATAGGATTATAATGTTATGAATAATAACCTTCTAGGTTTATTAGTTTAAAATGACATAATTTCCCTATAGGGAAGTAACTATTACCGTAGGTCTCATGATAAGACCTAGGCCTGGGACCGATTTACTTTTTCATTTTGATGTCCCTAGAGGCCAAAAACACCATTCGTTCAATTTTTTATATATGTCCGTTCGGACGATAACTTTAGTACCTAATTTTTGTCCGATTTTGATCAAATTTGGTTTGAAGCTGTAAGGCAGAATAAACTTGAATGAGTTCACGAACCAGCGTGATCAGACCATGGGAACGGGGGGTTTTATGGGGTATAAATTTAGTTTTCTCTCATTTTTGACATTCGAAACAAAAAAATTCCAAATTTCTCTATATAGCTTCCTTAAGAGCTTAAAAAAACAAATAATTAAGTATATCAAATTGTTTTTTACGGTTATTGGTTACGGAGAAAACTCAAAATATTTTAAATTTAAAATTCCCATGTCATTTTTGTGGAGAATATTGTAAAATGTTGTAGTTTGCTAGTTGATGGATATATTTTGATCAAACTTGAAAAAATTTATTGATTTTATACTAAGCTATAATTATTTTACTTAAAACAAACTTTTTTAGTTTCCTTGTAGCTGCAAACGTTAAACCTTGGAACTCGTTAAACCTAAATGTTATAAATAGATTAATTGAAAATCAATTCAGGCAAATGTAAATTCGCTTAGACGACAGGTTTGCTGCGGCGGGGGTATTTTTCAATGATATCGGTTTAATTAAGCTCTTTATTGAACCTTTCTGTGGGAATTTTACTCCATAAGGATCCGATCAAGTTGTAACTTAAAGAAGTTACGAAAGTTACTCGACAGCGAATCTCTGACGTTATTTGAGGACGATTAACTTGACGATGACATTGCCACGGAACATTGTCACTGTGAGATTCTCTTGACTGTGTGAAACGAGGCTTTGAACTTGACGAAGTAACTGCATTAATCATTGTTGCTGAGAGACATTAAATCAGAAACATTAAAGCTTACGCTTTTAAACGATGTGTAGATCAATGCTCTTAATTTGTTTATAACATGTTACATATTACTAAGTAGCTAGTTTAAGCTACCGGATCCCACCCATGTAGCAATAGGGATTGCTTGAACCATTTTGTTTCCGAGTTAATCCATTTAATAAAGGAAAAAATTGCTCTTGAAGGTAAAATATTATCAGTTGTTTTAAAAGGGCTTTGCTGTGATGCTCCTGCAAAATCATTTAAATTGGGAAGCAAAAGTCACACTGGATACAGTTAATGTTCCAAATGTAAAACAACATGGCGATTGCACAAATAATCGGGTTCTTTTTCCTGATAGCCCTGACAGAGAACATTTGAAAAGAGTACTTAGGACACCAGAGGGTTTTTTTGCATTAAAGGACCTTCTGTATCAAAATTAAGTTAGTCCGTTGATTTCAATAATAAACTTGGATTTCATTTTGGTATCTTTAAATTAATAGGCAAGCATGTTTCTTTAAAGCCTTTTTTCTCAGCTCGTGTGTATCGCAGGGAAAATCTACGCATACTGTTAGAAATATATTTTCCTGTGGATGTGCAGAATCCCTTTAAAAATACAAATAGGCTCAAATATAAGCACCAGAAATTAATTTGAAATAAAAAAAAATAACACGGGCTTTATGGGTTGCCATGCTGATAACAAAATAACAAAGAAATATAAACAGAAAATCACAACAAATTGAAGACATTATAATCACAAAATCACATGTTTTATTTATAGCGTGGGGTGAAAATAGAGAAGCCTGTACCTTTGAATTACAACTAGACATTCCACCCCCAAGTTTTAAGTTGTTGCCAGTTTTAACTATATTTTGTCGTAGTTGATTTGAGCTATAAGTAGATTGCACTGATTTCTGTGAATACACGATATTTTTTACCAAGTCAGCCATTCTTTTATAAAGTACACCTTATGTAAAAAAAATAAAATATTTATTTTGTTAATTTTAATTACTTTTCCTTATACATAAACATCCATACAATTCATAATTACAAATAAAGCCATGAATTTGTCATATTTTTCAGTTTTATTATTGATTGCAGTTGGTACTGAAGCAGCTGATTATTGAATATTGAAATCAGCTGTTTTCTAGTCAGATATGAAATAATGAGTTGATATTTTTGGCCAGTTAACCTACAACACATCTGAAGTAAGAAGATCAAAGCATTCAGCAAAATTTGTAGACTTTTAGGTAACTATTACAATACTTTATTCAAGATCTTGTTTATTCAGTTGCTGTGTCACGTCCGTTACAAAAATACTACGCAAGTTTAAATATCACTTAACCTATAACTAATTAGTAATTTAAAACCCCAAGAAAGTAAGGTTAGGTTGTTTCCATATTCAAATATATGTTTTTAGACATATTAAGTTAAATACCAATTTATTAAGTGTAACGGACGTGACAAGTCTTTAGATGTAACGGATGCGACATAATTTAACAGGTGTTTATTTCGTGTCTTTATAGTAGGCCTATCTAACCACAATGTTTTTTTGGTTTCAGATCATGGCTCCTGCTAACAGAATGGCAAAATGTAGGGAAAAAATGAAGAAGAACCCTAAAATATGGAACAATTATTTAGAAAAAGATCGTGAAAGGAGAGGAAGCAAAGAGAACAGGAAAGAAGGAAATTTAAAGCTAATAAACTGATGTTGGAGCAAAAGAGACGCAAGGACAGAGAAAGACAACAACTTTACAGAAAGAAAAAGGCACAAATAAGAAAAATAATGATGAAAACGCCAAAGCACTACTTGGTGAAACTTACCTTGGAACCTATAAAAGTCCACGTACACTTGGCAAAGCCCTGAAAAAAGCCAAAGGCACCCTACCCTCGAGTCCGGCTAAGAAAAAAGCAGTTCTTAAAAGATTAATAGAAGAGAACTTTGGCTTGTCAGTTCTCAAAAAAAAAGGCCCACGACAGTTAACCAAAAACTGTATTAAGAAAGTAATTGACTTTTACAACAACAATTAAATCAGTCGCCAGGCTCCAGGCAAAAGGGATGTGAAATCAATAAAAGATCCAGAAACGTCTAAAAGAACAGTACGACACATGGTTATGAGTATTAGAGAAGCCCATGAAGAGTTTAAGGTCAAGAACCTATAGCGATGTTTACTCTGTATGAAATAATACCACCACTATATGAACGAATATTTGATAAAGTTTTATTTGTAAACGAATGAAGAAGTGTGTTGAATCATCACATAGTCAAAACTAAACAGACCAAAGGCATCACAGCTGTGGCTAAGTTGACGCCACATCAGCCCCCCGCAGAGACTGGAAGTCCAGGAAGCTTGAGCTTAACATTTCGTCCATACCGAGTTGTATACCTTCTGAATGGTGCTGGGTATGGAGGGTTGAGGGATGTGTTTGAAGGTTGTATATTTTGAGGCTCTTTGATTGTTGGAGGATTAAACTTTTCGGGTAACACATATGCAGGCTTCACCCTGTCTAAGCTCACTCGCACTTGTTTGCCATTCTGTGATATTACTAAGGATTTTTCATCACGAGAAATTACAGGATATGGTCCGCTGTAGGGAGGTTGTAGAGCACGTTTCACAGAGTCGTCTCTTAGAAAAACATCGGTGCACTTTCTAAGATCCTGAAATATAAAAGTTTTGGGTTTGACGTGGCGTGAAGCTTGGACAGGTTTGATTGAAGACATGTGTTGACGGAGTCGTACAACATAATCAGTAGGATCTTCATGCCTGGGTCCGTCAACAGGGAGATCAAACAATTCTCCTGGAAGTCTCAACTGTTGCCCGAAAACAATTTCTGCCGTTGATGCTTGAAGATCCTCGCGGTACGCACTTCTTATACCTAGGAGGACAATCGGAAGAACTTCCAGCCAGGATGAATCGTGATGACACATCAGTGAAGCTTTGAGATGACGATGAAATCTCTCCACTAATCCATTTGCACAGGGATGGTAACTGCAAGTCCTGATTCTTTCAGAGCCGAAAGTTCTTCCAAGGGACTTGAAGAGGGATGATTCGAATTGGCGGCCTTGATCAGTAGTTATTCTTGAAGGAGCACCATAACGAGAAAACCAGCACGAGACTAGACCTTCAGCGACTTCTTCTGCAGTAATCCCCTTTAAAGGATGAACCTCAGGCCACCTAGTGTAACGGTCTATGACTGTAAGACAGTATTTGTATGGTCCTGCTGGTGGTAAAGGCCCAATTATGTCAACATGGATGTGCTCAAAGCTAGATGATGGTAAAGAAAATGTTCCTAGAGGAGCATGAACATGTCGTGTTACCTTGCAACGTTGGCCGCTCACAAGTACGAGCCCAGTTACGACAATCTTTTTGAATACTTGGCCAGACAAATCGATCTGCTACAAGTTTTGCAGTAGCTTTAATGCCTGGGTGGCTGAGGTCATGTAACGAATGAAATACCCTCTTCCGTAGTTCAACTGGAATATAAGGTCTTTGGGTCCCTGTGGAAGTGTCACAAAAGATGAATGAGTTTGTTCCAGGGATTTGGATCTTCTGTATTTTGAGAGATGAATTGTTGTTGTTTATGAGGTTGATGAGTTCGTCATCTGAGCTTTGTGCTTTGGCAATTGACTCAGGATCCAATGAACATGAAATAGCCTCTACACGTGATAAAGCATCGGCAACAATGTTTTCTGAACCCCCGATGTGTTTTATGTCTGTAGAAAACTCGGATATGAATGAAAGCTGACGTAGTTGAACAGGTGGAAGTTTCTCACGACGTTGATGAAAAGCAAAGATGAGTGGCTTATGATCCGTAAAAATGGTAAATGCCGTTGTTTCCAAAAAATGACGAAAATGCTGTACTGCTTCATACACAGCAAGAAGTTCACGGTAGTACGCTGGCCAAGAGCTTTGCTTTGGTGAAAGTTTCTTAGAGAAAAATCCAAGTGGCTGCTAGGAATTTTCAACAAATTGTTGAAGGCAAGCTCCTACACTAACGTCAGAGGCATCTGTAAACAGTCCAAGAGGGGCGTCATGTTTCGGATGAAATAGGAGTGTAGCCGACGACAAACTATACTTGCAAGCTTGAAACGCTTCCTCAGTCTCTGGGGTCCAAGGCACAGGAGTGATCCCTTGCTATTTGCACCACCAAGCAGAGAGTGTAAAGGTGCTTGGAGTTCTGCGGCTTTAGGTAAGAATCTACGATAGATATTGATCATACCTAGGAACCGTCGAAGACCCCGCATTGTCTTAGGTAGTTGGTACTCCTGAAGAGCAGAAATTCGGTCTTGTGGAGGGTAGACACCTGATTCTGAAACTTTGTACCCTAAAAACGTCACTTCAGGCATTGCAAAAACACACTTGGACGAGTTTACAATAACGCCATAGGAATGGAGTCTTTTGAACAAAGTCCTAAGATGTTGCTCATGCTCTTCAATTGATCGGGAAAACACTAAGATATCGTCAATGTAGCTGAACGTAAAATCTAGGTTTTGGGTTACTTCATCTATGAATCGCTGGAATGTTTGGCCAGCATTACGTAACCCAAAAGTCATGAATGGAAATTCGAAAAGGCCGAATGGAGTTGTGATAGCAGTTTTGCATATATCATCTGGGTGTACAGGGATTTGTTGGTATGCTTTTACAAGATCTATGACAGAAAATACGTTACAGCCTGAAAGATTATTTGAAAAATCATGAATGTGTCAAACAGGATACCTGTCAGGAGTGGTGCGTGCGTTCAATGCACGGTAGTCTCCACACGGTCTCCATCCATTTTCTCCTTTTGGCGCCAGATGCAGAGGTGAAGCCCGCGGACTGTCTGATGGACGTGCAGTACCACATTTTACCATGTCGGCAAATTCATTCTTTGCAATGCTGAGCTTTTCAGGGGCCACTCGTCGTGGTCGGCAGAATACAGGGGGTCCTGGAGTCGTGTGTATATGATGTACTGTCTGGTGCTTCACTTCTCGAGGCAATCCTGAAGGGCGAGTAATTTCAGGGAATTCATGCAAGATTTTAGAGAGGGGAGAAGTAGTGACTACGGATTTTACGCTACTTTGAGTCGTAACGGAGAGTTGTCCTCCTGTAACAAGTCCAGTTGTGGCATCGTGAAGTCGCAACAATCGACAGTCAGGAAGCAAATGGTAGTAACCGAGGAAGTATGAGCCAATGATTGGAACACTGACATCTGCAACTGTGAACTGCCATGCAAAACTACGGCGAAGGCCTAGGTCTAATGTCATAGAACAGGTTCCGTAAGTCTTGATAGTACTACCGTTGGCGGCACTTAGTTCAAAGTCTGTAGATGTGCGACGGTCTCGTAGAAGACGTTTGGGATAACATAATACGTCAGAGCCGGTGTCGATCAAGAACCGGAGATTAGACTTTTGATCCGAGACAAAGATTCTGCGGCTGGGTGCTTGACAGTCAGTCGCCACTGTTACTGGCCGTCTTTGGAGTTTCCCGCAAAAGAACAAGGAGAAGTACATTTTGACGCGTGCTCACCAAATTTGGCATGATACCAGCAGATATGGCTTGTAGATTTGTGCTGATCTTGATTTGCGTATTTTGATGTTTTCTTGTTATGATTGGTCGAACGATCGTGCCGGAGGGATACTTCGAGTGCGCCAATCCTCTGCGTCAGTCTCGCAATAGCAGCAGTGAGGTCGTCATTTGACTTTGTAGGTTCACGAGTTGCCGTAGCATTTACTGATACTTGTGGTGAAACCTCAATGACTTTATCCGCTATATCCGCGAGTTTATCAAGTGGAAGTTCATTTTGAGCTATAAGAATCGCTTGAATGTTGTATTGAAGGGATGTGACAGGGAGACGACGTAGCCAGAGTGCTCGAAGGATGTTGTCCTGTAGTTGGGCTGGACCGAGCAGAGAACGTAGGTGGCGTAAGAACTGCGATGGCTTGCGATCTCCGATATCTTCGTCGCTTATCAACTGGTGAACACATTCTTCTTCACTATTAGACAGCCTTTCATTTAGCTGAGAAACGACGTAGTGAAACCGAGTGTCATCATTTGTGATGCCTGAGATGGCGAACTGGGAATCTACCTGAGCAAACCATAGTCTAGGTCGATCGGCCCAGAATGGCGGAAGTTTTACTGCAACTCGATTCACTGATACGTTACCAGGGTCGTTGCGTTGCTGAACGTTGGTGCAAAGTTCATTTTGTTGCTCCCGTAGATTCACCAATTGAGCTTCGATTTCTTCTAGCGACATTGGTAATATTGATGTAGGAATGTCGTGCTTCTTGTTGTCGTTATTCGGGGTCACCAATATATAGCGATGTTTACTCTGTATGAAATACTATTACCACTATATGAACGAATATTTGATAAAGTTTTATTTGTAAACAAATGAAGAAGTGTGTTGAATCATCACATAGTCAAAACTAAACATTTTAACAATCTAGCAACAGCTGTAACATAATAAATATTAAAATACAGTGAAGACATGAGGCATCACAGCTGTGGCTAAGTTGACGCCACAAACCCAAATGAACAGATTTCGCTGTCAAAGTTTTATGACTTACGACCAAAGCACATTTTGCCTGTTAGTCAGATGCAACACTCTGTGTGCGTATGTATAAAACATTCAAATTTCATGTTCCTGATTGAGTCTGTTTCAAAATCTATCCCTGGTTTTCCAGACAACCACAAGGACCTTCTTAGCCTATTTTCCTGTGACATTTCGAGTGAAAATGTATGATGAATGAGTGTGATGATTGCACTTATGACTTAAAAACTCTCCTTCCTGAAAACACAAACTTAAAAAATAAGTACAAATGGAAGGAATGGAAAAATGTAAACAATAGGTCAAATCTGGTGGAAAATTTCACAAGTTTAGGAAGAATATTGGCTGAACTTAACTCTCAATTATGTGCTTTCAAGATTCATTTCTATGTGAAGAAAGTTCAGTCTTCATATTTTGATAAGTGCAAAGATTCTTTGGGGGTTTCAATAGACAAAGCTATAATGCAAATAGATTTTTCAAAGAATTATGCACTAATCCACCAAGATGAGATACAGAGTGCTCATTGGAGCCACTCAAAAGTTGCGATTTTCACTTGCTGTATATGGCATGGTAAGGAAGTATATAGTTTTGCCATTGTCAGTGACGACTTGAGCCATTCAAAAAATTCGGTATGGTTGTATATTAAAACACTTCTTAATGAAGTGAAGGATATTTCTTCTGAAATCGACCATGTACATATTTTTTCAGACAATTGTGCAGGCCAATTTAAAAGCCGCTATACTGTATCAAATGTGTGTTTCTCAGAAAAAGATTTCAATATCACGGTGGACTGGAATTTCTTTGCCTCTGGACATGGAAAGGGTGCTGTTGATGGGGTAGGGGGCTCAATTAAAAGAACTGTTTGGAATGTGGTTAAAGGAAGAAGAGCTGTGGTTAGCTCAGCTGAAGAATTTTACCAAGTAACAAAGGAAAACTGTACAAACATTAACGTGCTGTACGTTTCTGAAAAAGAAGTAAGTTCTCATTCCAAAAATCTTGAAGCTAGATGGGACATTGAACATTAAAATAACATTAACATATAACTTTGATATAACATTGAAAAAATTGTCGGAATCCAATCGTTTCATCACTTCCGGGCCTATGATGAATGTCATATTCTAGTTGCCAAAACATCTGAGTCACTTATGACTAAGGTTTGCATCGTCCTAGAACCAGAAGAAGAATACCTTACAGAGCCTGCGCCTTCAAACCGTTTGCGGTACTCTGATGTGTACACGGACTCTGAAGAAGAAAATATGTGTGATAGACGCTACCCAGATGAAGATGAGTATTTGAATCTACTGACATCTACTGATATTTCTCCATGTGATGTTGTCCCAGGAACACACGTACTGGTAAAAGTCTACAGTGAAAAGGGAAAAGAGTTTAGGTATGTAGCGGTTTGTCAGAGTTGTGTTAAAGAAAATAAGGATGTTGAGGTTTCATTCTTAAAGTCATACAACAAAAGTCATAAAGTGTTTAAAATTAATGAAGGTGATGAAAGACTGGTCTCCGTTTCAGACATCCTCGAACTACTAAATGATCCTGTGCTCAAACCAGTAGGTGATCGAGTCCTGTATGAATTTGAAGATGAAATAAACATCTTAGAATAACTGGAAGTAGAGCCTATAACATAGCACAAAAGAGAGCAGTTCAATTCCTGTGTTATAATTTAAAAACCCCCTAACAAAAGTGTGTTTTTCTTAGATGCGGAAATGTTTATGGAAGTTTACCATCTGCCATATTATGATTGTGTTCCAGCAATAGGCTAGTATTTAATTATTTCTTATTAATTTATGCTATATAACAAGTAATCTGTTAATGTACTAACATAATATTATAATTACAGTGCATAAATAAAGTGTATTTCCTCAAACTACGATATTATTTCTACCTATCACCATACTTGTCACGTCCGTTACAAAACCATAACACGTCCGTTACAGCAAATTAAAATTATTTTCACTTAACTGAAATCAAATAATAAAAGCTAGTTGTTATGGCTATATAGATAATATAATAAGTAATTAAATTTGATTTTTCCAATATCCTAAATGTAAATACTTAACAGAATGTTAGACACGCATTCTGTGACTGGCTCACACATGTTTTTTTATTAAAAAATAACGACAGCTGTTTCATATAGATGGGATGTCTACTTCATTATCCAATAGTCAATGCGTGTACATTACATATTATTGGTCGAGTTTTCGACCACTTGACGACCACTAGTTTTTATTATATTATACGCTTTTGGTTTGTCTTTGTGTTATGCGAAGTCTCATACATCTGGAATTTCACTGTCCCTCAGAAGTTGCTGCCCCTCACCGACCAGTCGACAAAGCTTCATCGAACCGGATCAGTTTTCAAGGTTACATTTCCAGTGAGTTTTGCCGAAAGCCCGCAGTTTTGATGATATTGAATGGTGGAAGGCAACAGAGTTCCGCTTATTCCTTTTGTATACTGGACCATTTTTTTTTTTTTAAGAAAGTGTTATCACCTCATCAATACTTTCTAGAACATCATGTTTCCATAACAATTCTTACGAATCCAAAAGGCTGTTTTACATTGGTCGAATAGGATGGCAAGTATACAGCTGAGTTAGTACGCTACCCACAACTCGGCTAGTGTAAACAGTTGGGCGAGTCGAGTGCCACACCCAGCTGAAAGGTGAGTCGAGTGTAAACGGCGGGGGCCCAGCAACTCGGCCAACCGCCCTCCCCCACCACCAATGTTTTCATTTTGTCACGTGATCTACCCGCAACTCTCCCGCGTAAACCGTAAGTGGAGTCGAGTTGAGAGGTTACAAAACACAAACTA